ACTGGAGAACCGTCCTGCAGAGGACTGTCTTGAGAATGCGGGTTGTTCCGCCCGCGGCGTCTCTTCCTCGGTGGTGTCTGCAAACATGATTGTCGGACCAGACGCACCCTCCACATCGGTTCTGGTCTCCGGCATTGGACGACTTGAGAACCTCACTGCTGATGATTGTCGAGAGAGCGTTGGTCTCGTTGCTGGGGTTGCTTTCCCTGATACACTTCCCGAGGTCGCATCGTAAGTGTTGATACCCGCCGACCGAAACCCGCCCATGGAACGAGCAGATATGTTTCGATCAAGCACAGGTCGTTCCAGCGGAGTTGGAGGCGCTGACACGTTTTCGACCCTTCCCACGTGGCTTGGGCCCGCCTGACCTTCAGAACGAGCTTGTGACACCATCGTGCCGTATGATGCTGCCGGTGCAGCGCTCTTATTCGATTTGCTCCTTTTTTGTTTCGATGGACTCGTGAGTAGGTCGTCGCTCTGGCTTCGCCCTCGTCCTCGCCCAAGTAACAACGGCCGCCGGGGAGCGTCGACCTCTGGCATCTCGTCCTCGCTGTAGTCACTGCTGCCAGGTTCAAATTCAGAATCGGAATCAAGGCAAGATGGTTGTTGTTCTTGATCACTCATCTCACCGTCGGAGCCAGAGGCGTCTTCAAAAACCTCATCTCCCAAGTGAGACGTATGAATTCCAACACTGACGCCAAGGCGGGACAACCTCGAAACCGTCGGCTTCCTGGGCAGTTCCCCAAAGTGCACCAGACTTGGTCGCCGTCCACTTTCAATATCGTCCAGTGATACATGCGGGTTGAACACGCCAGGCCGCCCTGCGGTTGACTCGATGATATTCGCGAAAGACGTAAGCTCTTCGGTTGAGTTCAGATTTGGCTCACGGCCTCGGAACCTCTGCAGGTCGTCCCACCACTCTTCATCCTTTAGTATATCGTGGACCATAATCTGAGACTCGAGGTCGTTACTTTGGCCGTTGATGATCAGCTCATACGTATTGAGGTGTCCGGAAGCCAGCCAAAACACGATGACCTCGGCCTCGATCCTCAGCTTATCTAGCAAGGCCTTGACTCGCGCCCTTTCTTCTTCCACTTCACTTTCGTACTCCACAAACACCATGACGCGAATATTGTATACTTTGTGCCATGTCGGAACGCTGTAGAGGATATAGCCTAGTTGGAGAATCAAAGTATCTGCAAATGTATCAGCGAAATTCGTATTGAAACAATAATCCTGCTCACATGTGTCGAAGTTGGTTGTCAAGACACTTTTCCCATCTGACAGAACTTCTGCCGACATTTGTATTGGCCAGAGATCGAGATGTTTCTTGACGTTGGCTTTGTCCTTGCGCGGCGTTTCCAGATCTTCAAAGCCTTTGCCAATTGCGACATTCAGTTTGTACCTCAGAGCGAGATCTTCCAACATAGTCATGTAACTGGTCACACTCATCATGCCCTCTGTCTTCATCACATCCGTAGGCAGCCTGCCTTCCATCAGGCGCGCTGATGTGTCGCCTCGTCTCCTGCGTGAAGGCCTCTCTTTGGCTTTGGCCTGAGGGCGGGCGTTCATGTTCGACGAGCTCGGTGCTTTCGGAACCTGGAAAGAAGGTCGAGAATCTCGCAGCTCGTCCATGTTGTAGAATCCCATGACGGCAATATTTGGCCGCATGCCCCCTAGCCCAGCCGATAGAATCAAGTTTCGGATACCCCAGGTGATGGTTGGGGACATTGTAAGCTGCACGAAGGCCTTGATACGGGAGAACTCCGAGATGTACTTTGTCCATGCTGCCTGTTGAAGTCTGGCTTCGTGAACGCCGCTGTTGAAATCGTCCGTCACAATGACGTGGCCGAGAATATAGAGACCGCCTTTCTTTACGGAGTTGCAGAATTGAATCAGTCGAGTTTGGCTCCTAGGATTGTTGATGAGCAGAATGATTTGGGGCCTCCAAAACTTGATATGCTCCGGCCGCAATCGCAGCAAGTACTTTCTCACTTGGTGGTAGATGAGATTTTGCGAGACGTCACCCCATCGCTTTGGTGGGCTGAGATAGTGAATCAGGGAAAAGAGAAAGATGAGCAAGCAGACTGCAGTAGCCGCATAAGTCTGGTCGATGAAGAACATGGCCGCTGCAGACATGATGCTGCCAGCAAAAGCTGTCTCCCAACTGAAGAACTTGAATGCAGGCCGAAAGTTGGGAGCTGATCCTATCTTGAGTAGGAAACATGCCAGGTTCATGACGAAGAAGGTCATCTGCTCTCTGTTAGTCCCAAACAGCTTCGTCTAGACTGAGTAAGCGGGTGCTCACCTGATAGCCCATGGAGATTAAAGTCGCAATCTGGTTCAAATTGGCGAACATGGCGATCTGGGCAAGTACATATGTGAGAATAATGGCTTGAATTGGTTCATCAGCCCTCTTCGTTCCTTTCGAAAATGGCAGCAGACCGGGCAGCAACTTGTCTCTGGCCAGGGCTTGCATGAGCTTGGCAGCACCAATGAGTCCCATCACGGCGGAGAAGAAGGTGACGGCACACTCTCCTGCAAGGATCAAAGGTGGGGACAAGCTCGTGACCGATATAATGTTTGTGTTGTTGAGAAATGAAGCATGCGTTGTGGTGGAAGCCATGGAGAAGACTACAACCAGGTACGCAATGAAGGTGGTCATCATCGCCCAGAGAGTTCCCTTCGGGATGTCTTTGCTAGGATTTACCAGATCTCCAGACATTGAAGCCCCTGCGAAGATTCCTGACGTGGCTGGGAACAGGATGGCAAAGACCTCTCGAAAAGTTTCAAATCCTTTGAAAGACTCGCTTTTTGTATGGGGAGCAAAGTTGTCCACCAACGTCTCGATACTAAAGCCGGTGAATCGTACACCAAGTCCATCATCTCGAAAGGGAGACTTAAACGTGGAAGATATCGGAATGCTTATAATGGCGAGACTCAATATGACAAGCAGCGCATTGCTAGCCTTGGCAAATATGCCGCTCCCGGCCAAGCACAATCCAGCACAGAGCAGCAAAGCCAAGGTTTGGAGCATGTAGACAGTCCAGTAGCCTTGGGGAAAAGACCCCCCGACGTTCAGCTTTATGCAGTCAATGAGACCAACAACATTGAGAGCGGTATTGAGGACCTGAGCGAGGTAGAAGAGCATCCCGATGGAACCGCCAAACTCAGGGCCAAGAGACCGCGAGATTACGTAGTAGGCGCCTCCGCCCTTGACTTCGCCATTTGAAGCTATAGCAGACAGAGAGAGCGTTGTCAAGAAGTCTACAAGATAAGCCGTAACGAGTAGTCCTGTGGTTTTTTGTTAGTGTAGGCTTAGACGGAGTGAGCGCGTCTGTGTTAGTAGCTGACGAACCAAGCATGCCCAAAAGCCCAACTTGACCAAGAATCCAGCCAAAACGGAGAAACATGAGAATGCTGAAGATATTGAGACAGACGGGGATATAGACCCCCGAAACGGCACCCAACTTGGCCTTGGTACTGGTCTGCTCCATGCTGGAGAGACTCGGTCGTCTGTCGTCGCCGCCCATGGTGAAGGTCGGAAAAGGGGGTCCGGTCGTAGTCAATAGGTCGAACCGGATCTCTTCCCGGATAAGGGGATAGGGGAATGCGCCACCTCCACGATCGTTTTCCTCGGTGCCGAACCACAGTGAAGAGCCGACACGACAAAGATTCGACGAACTTCAGTGACGGAGATGGGATGGTTGCTCGTTCGGTCAAGAACAACTTAACGGTGTGGGAGCGCAGCGCATAGGTATATACGTTTGAGTCCCCGCCCTTAATCGCACCAGTGTGTAATGTTGGACTGGGCTGGCTAATCAACCCCCCAGTGCGTCCAAGTGTAGTTGAACGATGGCTTGCGGCGCGGCGGCGGTGATCACGGCGACCAGTAAGAGAACGGCCTGGTTGGGACGGCGGGCCGCACAGGCATCCAACTGGCCCGGCGCATGTCTCGCGTCTTTCTCGTCGTCTCGTTTTCAGGGTTCACCGTTCTGCGAGCCAGGGATATCTGGGGCGATCCAATGCAAGCCTCTCCAATACCCCGCGTGCCGATTGGAAAGCTGCGATATGCTCCAGCCGGTCGCGCCGTGTTTGTTGGTGGTCCACTCACACAAACAAGCACCAAAGTCTGGGAAATGCAGTGAGATGCAGCGCAAGAGGCCGAAGCAGGAGGACTAAACGACGTCATCCAGCAGCGAAGGACAGATCGGACAGGTCAGTCGCCAATGCGTGACAAGCGGTCACTGTGGTAGCACTGTGGGTTGTGCAGAGCCGTTTTCTCGTGTCCAAGGATCTGTGAGGAGGGGTAGTAACTAATAGGGTATCCTGCAGAATCGAGATGCGATTTCTTTGGAATCCCCTAAGATATCCCGTAGTGTTAGGTACATGTGATTAGGTAGCTTCTGGACGTTGTCGGTTGGGGGTACGTCGCCCGCTTTGCCCGATCCCCCACGAGCCTCGAGAGCTTCCATGCCACAGATAGATAGAGACAGGCGTGGTAGAGCGATGGGCATGGCATCACAGGCCAACGAGAATAGCGTCAAGTGTCAAATGCCTGGCATCTGCCAGCCATCTGGCTCGACAACCCATCTGATGCTGGCGTGGCAGGGTTCGACCTCCAAAATAGAAAACAAGAGACCAGTCGGTTGACTCAGGCGCATGACAGCGGTAAGCCGGAGATTCCAATGGGATGGGCCGGATTGGCCGCTGGTACCGCGAAATTCGAACGAGTACCTAGTTACCAGTGTGGCTTTGCCGCCTATCAGCCAGCAGCATGGGAGTGTCAGTGTGGGAGTGTCGAGTGTCACTGCTTCATGACTCGATGATGGGGTTTCAATGCCGGAGGTGAAGGGTTGGTGAAGTGAACCTGAGGGCGAAGAGTGCAGGCGCACGGGATGCGAAATCAGCGATGCACCACACCCAGACAGACACCAGGTACCGCTACATGCGCGGGCTCATTCGAGTCTTGAGGTGAGGTGCTGTTCACCTACCTCACAATTCTGGCCAAGGGAGGTGAGAGGTGGAGAGCTGCCGAAAAGCACCCGCCGCGGGGCTCCAAAACACGTTCACACCCAGCCCGCGCCAGGATTAATGAGCGCGCTAGCCCCCCACACTCTCTCTCCCATTTCACCGTGCCACCGTCAGAGCAAGAGGAACAAGTGAGGCGGGATGTGCATGCAGCCAATGACATCTGTTCGCTTATTGTAGCGGTCGAGCTGTGCCTTACCTAAGCTGGTAAGATCCGATGGGAACCTTGGTTTTTTTGGTAGTGTGCGCTGGCAGTAAGACGAAATACTCGGCTCATTTCTAGTAAAAACTGTAGGTCGTATCCATTATGAGGCGTTTGGCAAGTCTCGAAGTGACCGGAGGATGGCCGATCATTGGAAAGAAAGACACATATCCCAGGGATTTTCGCTGTGCTGTTTTGCTGTGCTGAATCAGACATGCGATTGACGGTCAATACCAGCCAGTCCGCTGGCCAGAAGCAGAGGTCCTGGCGTAGGTAGTAGGTACAGTCGAATCTGCGGTTCCCGGTCAAAGTGTTCAAGATATTACATAAGGAAAAAGTCAGAGATGAGAGCAGAAACAGAGGGAATGGAATAAGACGAGAAATAATGATCGGAATCACCCAAGTAGACTATGTATTGTTGTTGTACCTAGGGAACTCGAGACAGCGCTGCAGCAATGTAGATAAGTAGATGATGCATTCGCATCTCATCGTTGGTGGCTGGAGCTTACCAGCTATGACATGGAGTAGCACGGCGACGTGATTATTCAAGAGTACCGTTACCAAGCACTGAAAACCTAGGAGACCTCGCAACCCATGTCTGAGAGACTGAGACAAGACCTCACCTGGAGGCTGGGGCAGCGTAGAGCGGCTAACACAGGCACAACATTGCCTTGCAGGTTCAGTACCAAGCATGGTCAGCATGCCCGGAGGGTGGAGCGAGGAACCCGAGAGAGCTCCTGGGTGCTACCTTAGGCTGTCGGTTGTCATAGCCCGACGGGTTTCGGCAGCGCAGCCACAGCTCCCGACACCACCCAGGGCCTGCTACAGCGTATGAGCCTACAGGGCAGGGCAGGCTGCCAGGTAGCGCTACCTACCCGACGCTATCTGTGTGAGCCACAGACTCTCCAGACCTGCCAGATTAGGTCACCCGACCCGCTTGGAAGCGGCGTCCTTATCACGGGTTCCCAGTAGCAACAGCTTCGAACGCACATCCCCCCAAGCCGTGCGCTGCAATTGATCTCGTCAGCTGTCTTACAACTGAGTCCAGGTAAACTCTCCCCGTACTTGAATCGAACCTACGTCTTCTCCATCATCTAGCTCTCCTTTTTTCCCCGGTTCCGTCCCATCTCATCTTCTCCCGCCCATGACACCTCGCTAACTTTGTTGTCTGTTGTTGATCCAGTTCGGAATCTGCAACGCTGTGGTTGGAGGCTCCTCGATATACCGAATACCGGCATTCGATAGTCCGCGACCGGTTTCATTAGGCACCATCATGGCATCTCCTTCGAGAGATCCCCTCAGCATTCCCAGGGCCGACTCCCCGTCCCGACAATTCGGCTCTCTACCTCGAGCAGACGCCACCGCTCGCCTGGCATCGCCCGTACCCTCGCAGCAATATGGCACTCCCCAGACCGGCCGCTTCGTCGGGAGCTCAAGTAGGCTAGGCGATGCCAGCGAGACGGCAAGTCTCGCTCCTCTTGCCGGAGCTGCTCCTTCAAGCGTTCAAGGTCCCGGTGTCTCGGCTCTCGCCGCCGCCTTGTCCAACTCGCTGGGGACATCTCCACCGAGGCATGGCACACCACCGGTGCGCTCTGCCACCCCTCCGGCACGACCTCTTTCCCCTGCTGCTGCCGGCGCTCAGCTTTCGAGCACGCCCATGACCAACTATGGATCTTTCGACTCTCGTTCGCGAAACGCCGGTGCTGGCGCCTACGAAGACCCCGAGATTGTCAAGAGGCATTTGGTCCAGCCCACCGACGCTGCTTCTGAAGAGTCTAGCATGCGTGATGGTGTGAAGGGCAAGCAGGCCGTGAACGCCGACGCCGACACCGGACTGAACGAGGACGAGTTTTCGAGTTTGCAGCTACAAGGCGGAGACGTGACTCGAGGCATTTACAAGTGGACCGAAGAGGCAGAAGCCCGCAGCAAGATGCAGCGCAGCAAGAGTTTCAGCGTTTCGCGTCCGGATCCCGAAACTGATATTCTTGATATCAATACAATCAAAGTTCCCGGAGGTTTCCGTCGCAACTACCTCCGTAGAGCGGCAAGAAGCCCCTCCACGGCCAGAGATGGTGGTGAGCGCGGCGAGGCTAGCGAAGCTCCCCAGCCTCGGCTGCTGACGTCCAGCTTCCTCGAGTTCCTCTCGATATATGGTCACTTCGCAGGTGAAGAGTTGGAGGAAGACGACGAGGCCCTACGACCCGGCGAATACTTCTCCTCAGGCGAGGACATGTACGAAAGCGACGACGAAAGCGATGACGACAGAGAGCCTATGGAAGACAGCGCGCTGTTGACACCGTCGCGCCACAGAAGGAGACGCAAGCAGCGTGGCGGCAGTGGAAAGAACAGTCCCATGAGTGCGGCGCTGCTTCTGCTCAAGTCGTTCGTTGGTACGGGAGTTCTCTTCTTGCCTCGCGCTTATCTGAACGGTGGTATGGTCTTCAGCAACGCTGTCTTGCTTGGGGTTGCAGCGCTGAGCTACTACTGCTTCGTTCTATTGGTCACGACTCGTCTCAAGGTCGACGGATCTTTTGGTGATCTTGGCGGCATTCTTTATGGCAAGTGGATGAGGGCGACTATCCTATCGTCTATCGTTATAAGCCAGATCGGGTTCGTGGCGGCGTACATGGTCTTTACGTCAGAAAATCTGCAGGCCGTTATTCTAGCGGTATCGGACTGCAAATCCAACATCGCTGTCAAGTGGTTGATCCTCTTGCAGGTGCTTGTCTTCCTGCCATTCTCCCTACTGCGAGACATCGAGAAGCTGAGTTTTACTGCTCTGATCGCAGACGCCTTCATTCTACTTGGTCTTGCATACCTGCTATACTACGACATCCTCACCTTGGCCACCAATGGTATCGCGGACATCATCCAGTTCAACCGCAACGACTGGACCTTGTTCATAGGCACGGCAATCTTTACGTTTGAAGGAATTGGCCTCATCATCCCTATTCAGGAGTCGATGAAGAACCCCAGCAAGTTCCCTCGTGTCATGTTGGCGGTCATGATCATCATCTCGGTCATCTTCATCGGCATGGGTGCCATCTCCTACGCCGCCTACGGGTCCAAGACCGAGACTGTGGTGCTCCTCAACATGCCCCAAGACAACAAGGCTGTCAACAGTGTTCAGTTCCTTTACTCCATCGCCATTATGCTGTCAATTCCTCTGCAGCTTTTCCCCGCCATCAAGATTACCGAGAATGCGTTGTTCACCAAGAGCGGAAAGTACAATCCCTACATCAAGTGGCAGAAGAACCTCTACCGCTTTTTCTTTGTCATTCTTTGCGCCGTCATCGCATGGGGTGGTGCGGATGATCTAGACAAGTTCGTTGCCCTCGTCGGTAATTTTGCTTGCATTCCACTTGTCTACATCTACCCGGTGAGTACAATCATGCACATGACCTAATTTGTCAATATAGAATCTGACTGCTAACCCTCAAATAGCCCCTGCTTCACTACAAGGCCGTTGCGAGAAACAGGCTCTGGAAGATTTCTGATATCATACTCTGCATCTTTGGCTTCGTCGCTATGGCTTATACCACAACCTTGACTGTTTACAGCTGGGCTGGTGGCTCCGATGGTGCTAAACCTCCGGCATACTGCGACCGCAGGGGGAAGTAAATCGGCACAAAGCGCCTGAGGGAAACGCATGCGACTGCATTTTTTAATTGTCATTCAGTGCTGTCTGAAAAGCGTTGGGTAATCATTGCATGGATTCCAGCGGGTTCTTCAAGGGTTTTGGACAGCATCGGCCGGTCGTCAATGAGCATGGGCTTGTACATAGACTGAAGAACAAGAGGCTCATCGCCACGTTTATAGTTCTGTATGTGTATACGTAGCAGTGGTTTTGAATCAACTTATCCTTCAACTCCCTTCGAAAATCATCTGAGGACATAGAGGCCAAGAAAACGAAAATTTCTTATGGCTTAGCGAGTCTCAATCTAATCTATTGAGGTGAAATGAAGATCAAGGAAGACGTGGAAGGTCGTAATAGCTTATGCACCGCCACATTTGTACATCTGTGGCGCAGCCTAAATCTCTAGGACCCACTACCTAGGACTCCAGCCCATCTTTACTGAGAAGGAGCCTGAGCTTCACCACGTCCAACTCACTCACCAGCATCCCTCATACCCCGGCTGAACTCTCAAATTCAATCACATTACCAACCAAAAGGTAGTGATCAATTCCTCGTCATGAAAGAACGTTCCACTAACCATAATAGAGTCTCACTTCGGTATTCTGCGTTCAGTTATCTCCAACTACGCATTGTCTTCAGCTTTGTCCTCAAAGTCTCGTTACAACCGACTCCACCCTCCCCTTTACTATCACGAATCACCAAGATGAACGCGCCTGATCGGTGAGACAATCTTCACGGTTTTGTTTTGTGAGATTTGGAGGGAGTCTATGTCTGCCTGGTCGGAAGACGGACTCGAAACGGCTTCACCTTGTTATGATTCCCTTCAGGCTTCCCTTCCCGTCACCCTTCCCGTCACCCTCGAGGAGGTGGCCGTGGTCTTCTCCTGGCTTCCTTGCCGGGCTCTGCCAGAGGCGCCTTCGCAAGGCACGGAACTACGCCTTTAAATCTATATCCTGAATTTCAACATTGCTCCTGTTTTTCCACGCACATAAACCATCGCATCACTGCTTTATCAGGCATATCAAAGACTCCCAGACGCCAGAATCACCCTCTCTCAACACATCTGAGCCACATCATGTCTTCCCAATCTGAGAACATTCCTCCTCGGCGCGTCTCTTTGCGAGAAAACGGAACCCGGAAATTGAACTAACTCTTTCATAGTTTCGAGCTCTTCCTGCTCGGTGAAGGCGAGAAGAAGATCGAGGAGAATGTCTTCTCTGGTACGATTTGTACACCCTTCAACCATTTTCCTAGCCATTCGGCCAAGCTAAACGCCTCCCAGGAATGTCCAACACGTCCGACTTCGTCATCAAGAAGGAGGACCACACTCTTGGCAACCTCCTGTCCGAGCACCTGAAGATGCACAAGAACGTCCTCATGGCGGGCTACAAGAGTAAGGCGCATTGCCCTCCAACCAGCGTCACGCATACTAAACCTTTGTCACAGTCGCGCATCCAAACGTCCCCGAGATGTTCATTCGAGTCCAGACAGACGGCACGATCACCGCCAAGGAAGCCTTGGTACAGGTCATCAAGAAGCTCATGCAGGACTTGTCCCACCTCAGTCGCGAGTTTACTCGCGAGTTCGAGCTTCGTCGCATGGTCGAGGCCGGCCGTTCGAATCAGCAGGGCCAGTAAGGCGGACATACGAGACGATGGTTTACATCTCGCGTGGGATTTTTCCTCTGGGCGTTAGGCGGATAAGGTCATTACGGAATAACGGTCTGATACCGAAGTTTGGCATGGGGAATCGTCATATTGGTTTTCGCATTCCGGGCTGAGATAGGGCCTCGGATTAGAAAAAGTTGATCATTGCGCATTACGTCGTCAATTTCGCGATGCTCTGAAAGGCTCCCTACATGACATTTTTTATGTGTATGCCCAGTCCCTTGAAGCCCTCTTTGGCGCTGTTCCCTTGGGTAGCGAGTCAACGCCTTCAGCCGTCATGGCATTGCTCGGACCACCCCTGGTGCCTCCCTCATGCCATCCTTTAGGTTATAGTAATCATGAACCTAGTCTATCTGTGATCTTGAAGAGCGGGTGCCTCTGCTCAAATGCGACCCTTGTCCAAACTTCTTCACGCGGTCACCGGACCCTCTCCTCCAGGAATGAGCTGCTCATCATCAGTCTCTCTCCTCCCTTCTCTTAGAAAACCCAATAGGAAATGTGACGTACCATGCAAATGTTGTTGCCGTTCAGCAGGATCTTGGGAAGCTTTGTGTGGTTGCCAGAGTAGTCGCTGGCCCGTAGTTAGCAGGGGTATACGTTTCCGTCAAAACGGCCACATACAATTCTGTCACGTCCTCCAACACCATGTCTGTTTTCTCGTTAGATATTTCCAGCAAATGGGTAGCACAACATTCAAGTTTTACTTACTGACGTAGTCATCGAAGCCCAGGAGCGTGCCGCTGAATTCTGCCATCATTTGAGTCAGCAGATCAGGTTCACTCGAGCCCTTGATGGTCAGCTGTACCCTTGTCACCCTTCATGACAACCCAGATCCTCGATCCAACACATTTGTCGATAAGTTCTATCTTCGTTAGCTTCGACGTTTTGCATTCATGGGCTTGTCCACTCACCCAGAGGGAGCAGTTGCGACGCCATTTTGCCGCTTAAATCTTTGAATCTGGTGGAGATTCTGAACTCTTCACGTTTGAAGTCTCCTTATAGGGGTTCTGCAGGTATCAAAGTCGTCGAACGAAATGATGGTCGTTTTGATACACCAAACGAAGGTTCTTTGCCTGACCAAAACGTCGCTGCTCAAGATGATGGACGTCGTGCACTTAGGCCGGAGGGGTGAGCGTAACAGCCCATGTCAGGTGACTGCGCGATGAGCTGTGAATGACTAAGCCACATCACCGGAGCTCCCAGCTGTCGTTGCCGCCAACTGGGCGCGTATCACCCACAAAGCCTATTCCGTACTTTAATTGAACCCCTCCATCACCCACGACGCGTCTGCCTGAAGAATACCGTTCTTCACTTTGTCGCGCCAATGCCCGGTGGCAAATATGGCGCTTCACTCCCCCTTCAGATGCACCCGCGAGTAGCGTGGATGAGCTTCCCTAGACGCAGCAGTTCTATTCTATATAATCATCGACTTTTGCCGAGGTCGATGCTGGTCCAAACGTATGAACACCCTTTTCACCGAACTGCAAGCTGCTCTTGGCTTTTCACTGACAGTATCGACGACTCGCAGACGTTCCAAATCAACAATGTATCCTTCTTCCTACGCCAGACTATGGAACCCCATTCGAGGCATCGTCTTCGGCCAGGCGAGTCAGAACGAGACATCCCATCCTCGAGTGGACATGTTGCGTTCTCTCCACACCACGACGCCAGACAACAGCCAGCCCTCAGTCGCGACGAAGCCGAATAACGAGATTATCGACTCTGACAGCGATGACCTGCCTTTCTACACCGCTCCGGAGTATCAGCCCGCGCTAGACAACGTTCCCACTGCCCAGACGCTCCAAGCAGAGACCGCAGGGGGTCCGAAGGAGGGCAAGGCTGAGGCTGAGACGAAGGCGGCTACAGAGCCAGCAGATCCTCCGCAGACAGACTTGGATTTCAAGATCCCTCTGCCGGCATTCCGGAAAGCCCAAGCTGCAAAAGAGAACACGGGAGACTCATTCTGGTCTTACACACTCTTTCGAGGACCATCGGTAGACGGGGCCGAGCAAAAGGTCAAGGTGCACTACTGCAAGACCAAACACACCATGGAGAGAGTGTGTCAATACTTTGTGAATGATTCAGTCCTTGGGTTCGACCTCGAGTGGTTCCCGGATGCGAAGAAGACCTCGGGTCCGAAGAAGAATGTTTCCTTGATCCAGGTCGCCAACGAGAGTCGGATCGCTCTATTTCACATTGCCTTATTTCCCACCGACGACTTTGTCGCTCCGACATTTCGGAAGATCATGGAGGACTCGGATGTGCGAAAGGTCGGCGTGAACATCAAGGGTGACTGTACGCGGATACGAAACCATCTGCAGGTCGATACGAGGGGAGTCTTCGAGTTGAGCCATATGTATAAGCTTGTGAAGTACTCAGCAAGTGGCGAAGTGAGACTGATCAACAGGAGGCCTGTACCTCTGGCTACAATGGTCAAGGAACACCTTGGTCTTCCCATGTTCAAGGGGCAGGATGTCCGGTCGAGTGACTGGTCCCAGTCCCTGAACATGGACCAGCTCATGTGTAAGTGTTAGCAGAAACTTTTCTCTACTACTTGCTAACTCTGCCTAGACTCTGCTTCAGATGCCTATGCCGGCTTTCAACTATTCCATGTTCTCAATGGGAAGCGCAAGAGCCTCGATCCAACTCCGCCGCTCCCGTATAATGCTGAGCTCGGCCTGAACATCCGGCTCGCAGACGGTGTCACCCTCCCAATGGCAGAAGAGAATATTGAACCTCTGGAGGCTGACCCGCGCAACATCTCAGCACCTCTGTCGGCCTCGGAGTGCCAAGCAATCAGAGACAGTCTCGAAGTTGAGGCAGATGGCGAGGGTCAATCAATCGCCGAGAGCGTGAGAGCCGCCAAACTGGCTGCTCCAACCCAGAAGCGCCAAAAGGATGCCAGGGTCATTGCTGCCGATGAGAAGCTGGCCAGCTACCGGACCACCATCAAATCCCTCCACGCCTCACCTTCCGCCGTACGAGCCTACTTCATCTGGAACGATAACGAGGACCTCACGCCCGAGGCCGTTGCCAAGGTCCTCCGAGACCCGCCGCTCCAGACGAACACGGTCGTGAGCTACATTCTGGAGGCTCTCAAGTTGGAAAAGCTGTCGTTCGACAAGAAGCGGCTGCGAAACGAGATTCTGCACACACTGCCGAAGGAGGTTCTGCAAGGCAGGTACAAAGCTTTGATGTTGGAGGCTCATAAGCCCGATACTGAGGCCTCTTCTTCAGTTGCGTGAGATGATGCGCAGCTACATTCACGAAGAGGGTAGCATGACGAGTCAGCGAACCAAGAAAAATACGTTGTGTAGTTCAGCATTGGATTCATGCATAATAGAGATACCCGCATTGGTTACATTTCACCTCCCTCCACGAGCATAGTCTTCGCTAGTAATCAGCAGCCCGTGAGAAAACATATGGACGCGTCAACTCTTTGCCAATCGCCGAGCCGCACGTCAGCCACAGCCGCCCCTGCATGTTTCGAAACATGAATTGCGGTAGAGCTCTTTGATTGGTGCTCTTGTTTTGTCTTCATGATGTCTGCCGTCCATTGTGTATTCCACCGTAACAACACGCACTCGCCCTTGATGATCTCTCATCCCTATGGCTTCCATTATCGGCACCAAAGACGGACCAGTTCATCAACAAGCACCGTCCGTTGTAGTCGATGGCCGAGCGGTACGAATTCTGGCAAAGAACGTATGTTGGCTCACGGTCTTACATAATGCCATGGATAGCTTGTTTTTTTTTTTCTTGCGTGCAATAGGTTGCGGGGTCGAGTCGACTTTTTGGTTCGTTTTGAGCCACAGGGATTTACTGTTATTTTTGTCATTTTCTATCTAATCATTTTCTTGGGTCAGTTATTCATGCTCTTGATGCATGTCAGTAAGCTTGTTGTGGTAGGGAGAGGCACAGCACAGCACACATCATCACACCGGACTTATACTACTGACTCCTATTGCCTGGGTGACATGACTTTGGGGTTACACGACATGGGAGACCTACCCCATCGTCGTCGTCGTCGTTGTCATCGTATCGTTTGAATGGGTATTGGACGATATCTCTCGTCACAGCCACAATCTTGCGCGACGCGATGATACGTCGTTGACATTGTCTGTCTACGACTGTCGGCGCGTGGTGTGAGGCTTGTGGGCTTGATTTCATGGCCTCTTTTCTAATTTGCCACATTTCCAAGTCAAGGTATAAGAATAAATGTATATGTGGAACAAAGGATATGTTCGGCCGAGTTTAGAATGCCGTCATTGTTTGTAGAGGGTACATGCGAGATGTAGCAAGCAACATGTTGCGATACGAGATGAACTACACGTGTGGTGGCGAACAGGTTGATGGGGACGGGTTGAGAGCATGGGATACTCATAACTATTTGGCCTCGAGAAAGATGTCTCGGTTCCTAAACAGAAGGAAAATCATCTGGGCTGTTATTCTGTCACAAATTATAAACTTTTTCGACGGTTCGTCTCTTGTTGGGGTCTCAGGGAGGTGGAAAGTACAAAAATATCAACAACATACAACATAGTGACGATTGCCAACCGTGGAAGAAGCAGATGCCAAGGAGATTCTGAATATCATAGAGCAGCGATTGCGAGACGATGCTTGTTTAGTACACATGGGTTCAGACGAGCATGTGTTCATGACCTGTTCAGTCACCCTCACAACTATGATGAAGGGGAGTTGATTCAAGTCCTAAGCCAGGCCAGCTCAGATGTCTTTCGCAGTTGGCCACGACTGACATCCGAGGTTGAAAATAACTCGGAATGGCCGAGCGAACAGGCCTCACGGCTTTGCAGCGAGGAAACAAGTTCGACATCATCCCGAATCCGTCGCAGCTTGCGAACGGCCTCCCAAGAAGATCATCATCCGATTGTGGCCCGCCCGATATTTCCTGCTTTTTGACGTCTTTGCCTCGCCGTCCGAAGTTTGGCATTATGGGGCTGTCTCTGCAACTACATTAGGGAACTCTCCACAATCTCTAAAACTAGGATCGTGCTCGGTCCTCGACAAAGTCGTGAGGTGACGTCTGGGGTGTTCTCGGAGAAGCGCTCGGGCTGTTTTGGCGGTGCTTTTCCCGTACGGTTCCTGCCTCTTCCATGCATCATTGACATGCTTCTGACCCGAGACCTTCGTTCGTGTGATCGGATTGCGAAACCAATCCGCAGCTCTTTCTTTTCTTACCTGCGTTTAGGACCTTGGCGTGTGGACTTTATCGGGTATTGTGGCAGATTGCTACGGCCTACAGCCCGGTGATCCCGATTATCTGGCTTATACGAGGTATGGTACCAAGGACAAACGACTGCCATATTGAAATGCTCATCGTTTACTCCAAACGATCATGTAGCCTCGAGGCTTGCTGAAATCTATCGAACTGGAGATGAGGCACTCGGTCGAACATGTGATACATCTCGGCCTAATTCTACCAGGTTGTCGAGTAAAGCATGGCTATTCCATCCATGCTAGTAACGAGGCTCGTTCCTATTATGTCCAGTGGCTTCTTGTCTTTGGCCAGCGTAAAAAGGAAGAGTCTTGGCCGTGTCCAAAGCCCTTTGCGATCCCACTTGTGGATGCTGCCAACCGATCGGCTCATGGTGCTTGAAAGCTTATCGAGATAGCTGTGGAGAGCCAAGGGACCAAGCATGCTCTTCAGCTTGGTGACCAAGACTGATATCTAGACTTCAACTCGAAACCTATGGCAATTCGAAGAGCAAATGAGCAGTGGCACCATGTGGGGCACAATGAAGCTTAAGCCACACCCAATTTGCACCACATGCCCTGGATATTCTCGAAATTTCGACGAAAATCATCGTGAAATGCTCTCTGTAGTGCCTGGGGTGGCCCTTTGCCGTGAACTTCGACGTCAAGGTATACTGCATAGTCCACAAGACGGTCGATACCGCAAAGGCATATAAGGGTTTGGATGCTTATAGGAGATACTAGAAACAGGTAGCGCTTCGGCTAAGGCGGTATCTGGCCGAGGCTCCAGACTCTCGAAGGCTTCTTAGGCAGTACTGCGAGTTCGGACCGTGCCAAATTCATCGCGAAGGTGTCGTGTTAAACGTGATATGAGAACAGATGTGGAGGCAGTATACGGACAATACCGAGACCCGAACTTTTGTCTAGATCTAGACTAGCACACCAAGCTAGAGACTGGCTTCGCGGCCGTTGTCAAAAATTTTGTTCCAAGAAGGAATCGCTAAGGTGGACTTAGGGGGACGCTTCAGTCCTTGGCATAGTCATCTCACTGTCCAGCTGGGTCCTGCACCGAGTGGGACGTCTGTCTCTACACGTACGCAGTAGTCGCTACCTTAGCCGGTGAGGTTGCAGATGAAGGTGGGACGGGACCAGATCCGTCATGACATCAACCAGGGATGTATCCGTCAAGTAAACGGGTCTCGATGGGCGCTATCAAGTCAAACACGGAGAATGAAGGCTCGGAAGCAACATCCTTCGCCCCTGGAGGCTTGGAAAAAAACCCTGCAGTTTCCAGGTGGCCCATTATAGGAAGCAGTACCAAAATCGGATGGCACAACTGATGCTTTCTGCTGAATGCTGCCAAGTCCGAAGCCCCTTGGGCGTGACATGTGGTCGCGAATGCAAACGCGGTTGGATGTGCAGAGGGAACCAAGAGAGAGCATCAGCCACGGCATCAAGGCAATTATTTTGGACCAGCCGGCGGCTGCAAAGCCGGGAAGCCGCCACTGGACGTTTTCAGCGGGCAATTGCCAGCTGAAAGTCCCCGCTGACAAAATGCAGCTGCGAGTCGCGCTGCATCCCGCCCCAAACAGTTGGGGAACTGTCAACTGTGAACGTGGCAACGAACCGACGCCGCCAGCCGCAGCCGCCCAAGAAAGAAAAACAGCCAGGTCAAACGATGCAAGCAAGAGATGCCAGTGAGCTATGGTGCCGCAAGATAAACCAATGGTGAGGAGGAGAAACACCAGAAACCCAGAGAAGCACTGGCCAGTAAGACGATCACGAACGGTTGCCACACGAAACTGTCCGCCCTCCTCCCTTGCGCTAGTGTAGGTAGTCGGGTGTTCCCAAGCCATCCGCCATCTGAACCACCAATCTCTAGTGTCTGCTTCCAAGTTCCCACTTCTCTTTCTCTCTCTCTCAAGCTGCAAGTCGATCGAGATAGCGCGCAGCCGCCGCTGGTCGCCGTGCGCAACGTCTGGGTGACGACTTGGGCTGCGTCGTCGTTGGTGCTATTATCCAGTTGCCGCTTCCTGCGTCTCTAGCGCCTCTTATCGCACTGCCGCCTGCAAGCTCCTGCAGAGGTGAAAGCCAGTGGCATTGTCGCACAGCTGCCATGACACCGATGTGTGCAACCTTCACGTCGCCTTCATTTACCTCTCTACGGAAGCAAAAACAAAGCAAATAGTCCGGACTCTGTAATGAAAAAGAAAAAGAAAGTGGAGTGTATCTGTACCGCAGGTACTCTGGAACATTGACTTTGGAGACGTCGGGAATATTCTGCATCGAGCGGGGGCAGAGACTGCATGTTTCAAGAAGTTTACCAGCGTGACATGGACTGTAAGGTAATTTAAGCTGCGAGAAAAAAAATTGAGCGACCAAAGATTCAGGGTTCCCGCCGGTCCAGGCTTGTTTCGGGGGCGGGGAAAGCTGTTGAAATGAGGAGACGTGCGGAATGGAATGCTTCTTTCCCTGGACGGGTTCAGCTCTACCGGTTCATGGAAGACGCCTAGAAGACTTGGGCTTTTCCTTTGTTCTCATCTTTGCATGTTCATTTCATCTGGCACATGTCCGAGACCTACATGAAGACTCTTTCGGGGCTTAAGCTGCGCTAATCAACAAGGTGACGACGACGACGACCAGACGGCGCAGATTGGAAAGTACTTTGTAGATTTGGTTGCATATCAGGTAATCAGAGTTGGAGATGAGGGCCAGAGGTGAGTCGATGCGGTCCAGGGGTGGAAACGACCAGGTGCGGGTTGGAAATGAGAATAGCATGCGCCTGAGGTGGGAAACAAAATGGCGGTTTATGCCGCGTAGTTGACGACTAAGGTAATGTTACCTTATCTAAGTACGTACTTACAGTTGTTGCCAGCTGCAGAGATAAACTCGATGGATGTATCTGATGTACACTTGCATACCTACTCCGTCTTGTCCATATTGCCAACAGGATTTCGAAATTAAGAGAATCGACGGGTAGAGGCAGCCGTTTACGCCGGGATCTTCAGTGAAAGAAGGAACTTTCCCAAGCTCCTGATTAGCAAATTGGGCTCCAGTTGACGCAGCGGGGACCAAAAAGAAACGGCTTGATCCCGTGGCGTAGTAGCCCGCTACGTCAGTTCAAGACATTTCACACCAACACATTCGATTTGACCCGTTTCATCTAGGTATTTTCCTATCAGCATCCGGCTAATGCTTCCTACTAGTCAGGGGTCTCGGCAGCAACAGTGCACAAGCAGCGCCGGTTCCTGAGCCGCGACACAACCATCACCTTACACTCAATGACTCTGAGCCCACTCAAGACTTCCAGTTTCTGAACCACTTCTGCCACTCCCACTCGCCCGCCGCCCGCCCGCGCCTTCTCTTCGGCGCGTCCTCTTTAGCGGGCGGGCATTCCACACTTGCGAGACCTGGCCATCCATCCCTGTCTCCTATCTTTTCGTCCGTGGGCCGCGGCAGTTCTGCCCGCATGTCCTCTGCCGTACAAGACAACGCGAACAGGTACTTACAAAAAGGTATGTACCTTACCTTGCACACGAAATAGTCGCCTGCAAGAGATGGTAAATTTGGGGAGGGGATCCAATCCAAGCCATCCTACACACCCATCCCTTCATCAATCATCAATGTAGGTTGCCCTTTCGCCCCTTCCTAACACCGCCCCGAATTACGAGTACGGTGTATACTCCGTACGGTACCTTACAGTACTGCGGGTTTCTCGTAGGCAAAGATCTATCCAAAAGACCCGGAAATCGTCTGCCAATTGATTGCGAATCGTGGCAGGGGCGGCACCAACTTGACGCGCGAATCTCCGGGTCCCCTTCTGCCAATTTACCAGATTGCCAGATTGCTGAGCTTTGAATGAAGTCTTTCGAAGCCTGGCGCCAGTCCTACGACGTCAAACGCCGTCCCATCCATCCCCCTCTTCCATCCCAATGTGCCAATCCTACCCTGATTTTGCCATCGCCATCCCGCTGTTACAGTGACTTGACTGAGGCTGGGTTACCCAGTTTGTCAGTGCGCATTTGACCACCAAGCAACTTGCCCTGTATTCACTGTACCACTTGTAGTAGTGTGATGGGAGTCGAATAGCGTGGATGTACCTCTATCTGTGATTGTACACAGCATTGAGTGGAGGTCGTAGTTGCAGTGCTCCTGAAGATCAAAGATAATTAGCATCTACACTATGTTTGCCATTAATGCCAACTTCTTCTCTCTGTCCTGACATGAGCCGTGCTTTTCTGATTCTCCCCTTCTCATCTTCATCTTCATCTCCATCAATTACTTACTTCCCACAGTCGTTGCCTACATTATCGTTGCACACACTCTCGCATCCAGAGCGTTCGTTATCACACAGGAAACATCCTCACCGACCTGACCGACACTCGCTCGCTCGCTTTCGCGTCGCAATTCGTTACTAGTGTCCTCTCTCGTTCCCTCTCACCTTGGCTTCACCTCGTCGCAAACTCCGCAGAAGCAGCAGACCTACCTACCTTATTGTGCCAAGGTACCTTACTGGAGTAACCTCGCCGTTCAGGGTCGCCGCGGCACTGCTTGCTTTTTCTCCCTCTGCTTTTTTAGTCTTTTGGTTTTGCTCGAGCAAGGAAGGCACCGGTTCATTTTGTCTAATGAGAAAGGAGAGACCAGGGGTCCCCCTTCTCTCCTAAACCGTTCTGAAGGTCCCACTTTCACTCGAACCCCCCGTGCCTGTCCGCCCCCTCCTTCCCTCCCTCTCTCATCCCCAAGCCACTCCCAGAAGCCCACCACATCCACCACCATCTCGTTCTTACTACCACGAATACCCAGGTATCCTCGCTTTTTCCTGAGGTATCGACCAAGACTGACTAGGGAGGAAACACTGACACTGGGGCTCCTTCCTTCCCCTAAAGTGCCACAAACCACGCCGGGCGCCATCCACCAAACTGACCAGACGAAGCCTCAACGTCTCCAAATTTAACCCTGTCCACCTACCTTACCTGCCTGTCCAGTCCCGCTATCAGAGGTGCTCTTTTTCTTTCCTGGCCCTTAGTCCCTGAGGTAGCGAGAGAGAAAGATATCAAGGCACAGCTACCTATCGTTACCGCACTATTTTACCTGCCTCCACTTATTCTCCTGCGTCGCACTGAGAGCTGCAGCACACCTCACTCTCGCCTCCCGTCCTTCACTGCACTAACATCTGCACCCGCCTGGCACACTCGAGGACCGCGACGGGTTTACTACGCCATCGTCCCCAACTCTAAAAATTCCACGCCCCGTCAGACATAAACACGGGCACCTCACAATCCAACCCTCGCGGCCCGCCCCTGACCTGACCGCGCTGCCTCCGACCTCGAAGCCTCTTTTTCCCTCCAACAACCCAATTCACCACTCAGACCGCATACTTTCGCTGGTTGTGAATTCCAACACTCCTTCACACTTTCAACCTCATTGCGAGTCGACAATACCTCAACGGTGGTGGGAAAAAAACACAGCATCCTAAATTAAGGAGACTCCCACCCAGCACCTGCTGTCATCTGTCTTTGACGATTCGGCCGTTACCCCTAACCTCAACGCCAACGACCAAAGGGGTAAATCGACTTCTTCAACACCCCCAACTTTCGCTGCCGTTTCCTTACTTTTCCACAACCGCAACCGGTCGATCGCGTCTCTTTTTCCAACCCCGGAACAGGATTATTGTCTTGTCAAATCGGCCGAGGGCCCTATCGCCAATCATGGCGAACACGTACGTTGGCATCCATTCTTTCAACCGTTCAGTCCCCTTTTCTTGGGACGCCTAAGAGGACCGAGACATTGACTTTGCCATGACAGGTTCGGCTTCGGTGCGGCTATGCGCTCTCTCTGGCACGACCTGACCAGCTACGACCGACGTACGTTTTCCCCTCCCGAATGACCTCTGCAACGCCTACCTCTGTCACAAAACTAACTTACCTTAGACTCTACGATTGACTCTCCTCACCGAACCGGTCGCCACGTTCCTCTGAATCGCCAGAGCGGCATCCTTACTTCCGTCGCGACAGCCTCCGAATCCCGCGCCGATGTATCCTCTCCCTTCGCCGACGATTATAACAGATTCTCGCGCGAGAACAGCTACCAGGGCGGTGGCATGCCCTACACACCAACTAGCCCCAACCCTTCTGCGCCTTATTCCCCAGGTCTGAGATCTCAATCTGCTCGCCGCGAAAGCCAGCACGATGGCTTTGAGCTACAGAGCCCCGGAGACGTCCCCATGCAGTCTTTCCAGGACGGCTCACCTCCTCCCCCTCCCGTTTCCCACTCGTGGAAGAAGATTGACGCTTGGGCTGAAGAGCACTACCCTGAGCTGTGGGACCAGCTCTGCGAGGGATGTACTGATAACGATCTCAACGAACTGGAGCATCAACTCGACTGCTCCTTGCCCCTTGACGTGAGAGAGTCACTGATGGTTCACGACGGCCAGGAGCGCCTGGGAATGCCTACTGGTATCATCTTCGGCTCCATGTTGCTTGATTGCGAAGAGATTGTTCAGGAATGGGACCAGTGGCGCAAAGTCAACCAGGAATTCCTCTCCGAAGCGGCTTACCAAAGACCTGCCGCTCTCCCCAAGGCCCTCGGCAGCAGCAACCAGGCATCGTCTTCCAGAGAACCCGCATCTCCTGCGGCCGCAAACAATGGCTCTTGGCGTCAGGACCTCATTGCTCGCCAGGATTGCGTGCCTCCCAACGCAGTGCAGCGATCGTATGCCCACCCAGCCTGGATCCCCTTGGTGCGCGATTGGGGTGGAAACAACCTGGCTGTCGACCTCGCTCCCGGTCCCAGCGGCAAATGGGGGCAGATTGTTCTCTTTGGTCGCGACTACGATACCAAGTATGTCATTGCCCGCTCCTGGGCTCACTTCCTCGCCATGGTCGCGGACGACCTCTCGTCTGGCAAGTGGTTTGTGGATGAGGAGACCAACGAGCTCAAGTTGCGGGAGTTTAAGGAGACACGTGTTGAGCCTCCCTACTTTGGCATTCTTCGATGGCGAATGGATCAGAAGTACGGCCGAAGAGCTGCGAAGCGCAGATCGGTTGCACCTACTAACAGAGCCGGATCTCCCGCTGGATCTGGCGCCAACTCTCCGTACACGAGCGCGAGCCCGACATCAGCCGAGCCTAATGGCGAACAACGAGGAAGATCAATGCAACGACTGGGAGGCACTTCTCCGATTGCCAGCCCCATTCGCCCTGGTTATGGCAAGTCCAGCCCCCTGGCACGAGTGGCCGAGGAAACCCCTCTGCCGGAGCTGCAGACAAACGGCCTCAAGCCAACGAAGCTTGTCGAAGTCGAAACTCCCCGGCCGAGCGAAGAGACCCCCAAGGGCTCCCGCGTGTCGCTACTTTCGCACGTCGAGACTGCGGAGGGCGAAGGAAAGGAGAACGCAAACCCCGCTGGCAAGATGAATGGCACCGCCAAAGCCAACGGCAAGCAACCTGAGGTATCGGAGGAGCCGATGAAGGAGATCGAGATATAGAAGGTGTGCAAAACTGGATACGACAGAACGACGATACGGTTTCCCCTATTCTCGGGGTCTTGTTACGCGACAAGGCCCGTCATACAGCAAAACATCGGCGTTTGAGGCGTCCGTGACTCTAATCATTATGAGAGGACGTCCGCAGGGGGTCATACAACATTGAAGACTTTTTTTTTCGAGCATCAGGGAACACGGCGGCTGGGCTTATTTCCAAGTCTATTTTCTTCTTCATCTTTTCTTCCTTTTTGGGCTCTCTCTGGAAAGGGCCGGGACCGGAATACGTCGGGTGGGCCTCTGCCCATTCTGAGGTTTCTGCAGCCTATGGACATAGCTGCGCGGCATACGTACATTCGCACCAACCTGCCATATTCGGCCAATTTTCGTGGGCAGCCTTGCGGCTGTCTCGAGATGGGTGTTGCGGACCACGTCCTCCTAGATGAGGTAAATGGGACGATAATATCCCAAGCTGGAATTGGTAGGCGTGCCGGTAATTGTTAGTGTACTATTAGGACCTTTTGTCTACTTCTTTTTATCTCGAGCGCTCCGAGGCAAGGGCGTAGGATTAGTCCTCAATACAGGTTGGCTGTGACGGCCTTGGCCAAATCGTATTCTGTTTCTCGTGTCAATATGAATTAGATAGGCTTTGCGCCTACGTGCATGTATTTGGCGTGCAGCGGCATGCGCCCCTCAATTCCTCGTGTTCCGTGCTACTGGGACCGATTCGTGTTTGCGGGGTGTTAACGGGGGTCAACCTGAGCCCGGAGCATGGCGATGAACCGCTCCGCTTCGATCGGATCTACGAGGAAGGGTCCACGCCGTGTCTCGAGCAATGGAATGTCGTTCATGAGCACGGGTGCAGGCAGAGTCATGTACGAAGCAGGGGACTTGGAGGTGTAAGCTATGAGTTGACTTGCTGATGGCGTCGCAACAGCACATATTTACCAAGGTAGTCTATACATATGAGAGAGACTAGGTTCTTTTCCTCGGTTTCGATCATACTTTTGAAATGAGCGTTTTTCTGTATTGTCTCGTTCCCCTTAGCTCCCTAAGATATACAGAGTCAAGATGCACGAGTACCTTTGCGATGTAAAGATCATGTGACATGTCAAGGGTCACGTGTGAACGGCAAAGCTCCGGGACAAGGATGAGGTAGTGGGACTGTGACGCCTCAGCTGTGCCGGATCAACGTCAAGGCGACCAACATCCGGAGCCCGTGCCTTCGTCACCCAAGCCCAGCCTTACACCGAAGCAGACGACAGCAGACGACGAACAACGCACGCGCGGCTCAATCATCCCCCCCGGCGATATACCGACGACACTTTTCTTCTCCTCCAAGAGCATCGACTGCTCGAGAACACTCCCGACGAAACACGCCCAGATCCCCGCCCGCCCGATCCATCTACAACGATTCGCAGACTGGGAGCTATCTTCAGCTAATCGCTTCCGAAACCAACTACACCTCATAACCCAATCCATCCCATCACCACATTCGCAACTATGGAGGAAGAGCGCCTCTGGAAGTTCAGCAAGCCGGAATGGCTCAACAGCGCTTGGGCTCGTAACTTTGGCGTCTACGGCGCCGGAGCTCTGGTAAGCTTGTTCCCTCTTCTCTCGCCTGATGGTCACCCGCCAGTGTCGTAGGATAGATAGCACGCGAAGGAACATCAGCTGGTTTCCTCTTCCTTTCAAAACCTTCCCCAAAAACCAAAAATCATGAGAAGAACAGAAGATTCAAAAACCCTGCTAACCGTCGTCAACCCCCCCAGTTCTCCGTCGCCTTCTACGTCATGCTCGACTCCGCCGTCTGGTCAAAGTCAGCCCGCAACGGCTCCGACACCCACGTCACCTTTGTCGACTGGCTGCCCCTCATCTTCTCCTCGCTCGGCATGCTCATCATCAACTCGGTCGAGAAGGCGCGTTTGTCGGCCGACAGCTTCTCGTACAGCGGCAACGGCGTCGCGTGGAAGGCCCGCGTCGTGCTGTTCCTCGGCTTCGCCGCGCTGGCCGGGGGTATGGCGGGCGGCGTGACGGTCTTTGTGCTCAAGTTTGTCGTGCAGGATGTCGCCATGCCGGCGCTGGGCATGGGCATCGAGAACGTTGTCGCAAATGCGCTCGTGGGCTTGAGCAGTGTCGTGCTTTGGATCAGCCAGAATATGGAGGATGAGTATAGCTACAACCTTGCTCTGTAAATAGGGGAAAAGGGTGCTTTATAGGTGGCCAGTGACGCGGGGGCTGGCTGGTCTTCGTGGAAGAGTCGTTCCTGAGGCTATGGCATGGACCTATGGTATGGACGAACCGGGTTGGTTCATCCAGAATGGCTGAAGATTGTATGAATCGGGTGATTCGGATCGCAGGTGTATAATTATAGCACTGAGGATTCTGTGGCGCATGGGTTTGACATTGGCGGCATGGCTATAGTCTACTTTATTCCCTTTATTTGAGCCTTCTTTTCGCAAACTCTTCGGTCTCTGTCCATTTCCGCGTCCTGAAAAGTCCAATTGTCACCACTGACTTCGGGCTTACCGGTTTGTCTGCTTAACACAGGGATGCTAGGGCTGCAAATGAGAGCAAAGATTCGAGGAATCCTGGTAGCTTCTTTGGTTTCAGCGTGGAGAGAGGATAGTACATGGAATAATCTCTCCTAGAGCTGGAAGTCACAGTAAAAGTTGGCGATAAGTAGACAGAGAAGATTCTCGTTCCTTGACAAAGAATATTGACACGAACTCATCCTCATTCTTGAGCACGAGGACCAGAGGTTGTCGCGTATCCATGACCATGAGTGCAAAGCAGGCAGGCAGGTGCTGGCTAGCCCTACATCAAATTTACATACAGTACGTACCAGACCTTCATCCGATGAACACCCAAGGAAAGGAGCTTATAAAACCCCTCTCATTTCTGTCACCAGCCAGCAGGCGCCCGTCTAGGTCGGCGGGTCAGGTCAAACTGGCTGGGTGGTGGAATGGTTTAAGGTCGACGATTAAAATCGCCAACCAGCCTACTCGACGACAGGCTTAGCGTATACGAGTACCCGAGTTCGAATCCCAGCATGAGCGCCCCAGAAAAGTTCCCAGCATGAGCACCAAGAGATGTAGCCACGCCGGTGGTGAACTCTTCTTTTGTTCTTAGGTGAGTGCTTTCGTCTTGCGTCATGGCGTCATAGGAGATAGTATTTTGACCCGGATACTTTGATTGTATTACGCCAATGACTCCGAGGGGTTTGTTACTTGACTTATATATTAGTCTTGCATTGGGCGTGTGCACTAAAGGGCTGCTTTCTGGCAAGGAAGACGTCTATACCGTCGATGGATCGCGGCGGTCGTACTGGTGGTCATCAAGGAACTGTTTCCTTAGGTGAAATACACCCTGTCCTAAATTTTTATTCATTCCAAGTAAGCCCCTTGCATCTTTACTGACGAGTTCAATAGTTCGGGTGTTGTAAGTGGCTTCAAGTCGTGAAAGTCTCGAAACCAAGGCACCACTTCGATCCCGATTCGTTTCCTCCACGTACCACAACAACGGCCTTCTCGTAGTTTTCCTTCACTGGTGTTTACTATACGTGGGTCAGTTAGGTATATCATGGCAACATTCACTGGAGTATCTGTTATGGTGCAAGAAGCTTCTGCGGAAGAGGCTATGGTATACTAAACATCGCTATGCTATTCGTATGCGTGAGCCGCCTCTCGTATACAACTACACGAATCTACAATAGCGTACATTGCGTTGCTAAATTTCTTGGACATGTGCCTTCATCAATTAGACAAGTACAAAAGTCGAGAAAAGTTATGTTGAGTTATATCCATCTAAAACATTTATAAGCAAGGGAGCTGCCTGGTCCCCCTTTCTCTAATGCTATACACACTTTTGTCTTAACTACCTCCTACTATTATAGGACAGATGCTAATGTAGTATCAAATATTATTTACTACGGCTTCAGGCGGCTCGGCATTGAATTCTGGGGAGATATTTTGTGGCGCAATAATTATACAAAGAGAGGCTGTAGGTGCTCTCGCTATACAACTCCACAGACTCCCCAAGTGAGTCTCCATCGTCAGGGTAGCAAAATCAGAGAGTTCAGTCCTTCTCGGTCATACGGGAACGGGTTCCACGTGTTTACGTCGATCACATTGTGATCAAGAGGACCGCCTCTTTAGATATCAACACACTACCACTGTTCTCTCGATTATTCCATAAGTGAATCCAATATGGAATATAATTCAGATCGTTCCTAGCGAAGGGGGGCGGGGGGCGACTGACGCAATTACTAGATAGTCTCTATCATTGATTAAACGTCATGAGTTCACCGCTTCCAGAACGTGGGCCGTTGCTGGCGCAGTAAATAAAAGGTGCTGCCCACGGGTTGGACCTTCCATTCTGAAAACCCAGTCATCCTGGTGGTAAAAGGGAACCAGTGATAGACTTAATCATACCTCTTTAAGTACTTTCCTGTAGTGACCGAAAGCTAAAGAAGCCTGCAGAGCTCGGGGCCTACTATGTTTACCGAGCAGTTGACAATATGGCTCATGAAAAGACCTCCCATTGTTCTCCTCTAGAGGCGTTCGCTCAATATATAAATGCCCGCCACGTAAACAGTCTCATCACGAAGGGATCACCACGCAATGATAACATCGTGCTCCGCGAATCACAAACTCGCAGTTTGGACATATGTCGATGTCCGGCGTAGGTCCGCCTCGCCTTTTATGCTTGAGAATTAGTAACTATCAGAAGATAAAGCCTAGATCCGGGTCATATCAGGACCAGCTTGAACCATCACGAACGACCATCTTGTTCTATAGATCCCCTTGTGAACAATCAACGACTAGAACTATACGATGCTGAGCGGTTTAGGTGAAATTGAGCCTATGCCACGACTGATACATTGCTTCGCCTCTCGCTATACGTAGCCACTGACCCCGAGGCCGAGATCTGCCCAGAGGTCGTCTTCTGACAACTGAGCACGACAGTGCCGATACTACATCCAGATTTGCAAACGCGGCCTATATATATATATACATATACATATTAGATCGTGCAAGAGGTCACGGAAGGGAGTCACAGCTTCGACAACGGCCCGCCAGACAAGAACCGACTCTCGAAGTCGAAGCCTGGAAGACCAAGTGGATTGATACATGCCTTTGGCTTCAGTTGCGCCGACGAGCTGTTTTCACTGACTAGAACGGGTTGGAATCAGAATGGAACATACCACGGGGAACGAACCAGCAATCAGCTGTTGTTCGCAATTGCTCCCATAAACCAAATAGGAATGATTAGTGACAAGTTGTTCGAACATGACAAGCCGACAAAAAGCTTGTTAAGATGAGCGGGGGATACCGCGATCTACGAATGGTGGAGAGGATAGTGTCCAGTATAAAGGTATGTCTGAACTCTATCTCGCCCGTCGCCTTATTGTACTCAATAAACATATGTATCGTAAACTCGAGGCGGCAAAGGTGGACAAAGCTGGTACGTCATCCGTAAGAGATCATATAGTTCTTTGTAATAGTATCATGCTTTGTCTCTCCCATCGTGAAGGATCTACGTAGGGCTACATATATGCATCATGGTCTAACTCAGGGTGTGGCTCATACTAATCGCCACCAGAGATTAGGGACTACACTCAAGGCAAACCCACAAAACATGAAAGACATATCGTTCCGAAATCCTCACCTTCCCTTTACGGAAGGTTCCAGGTAGAAAAGGGTTTACAGCATCGAGTGTCAACGCATGACATCTCGATGACCAGGGGGGATTCCAACAAACCGGAAAGCACCTCACAGCTCCCCGACGCTTACACGGAAGACGGACAGCGCAAACCCGGGAGTGAAGCGTATTTACTTACTCCACAACACTTCCCTCGTGAGTCGTAAGCCGCAGCGTGTAAACGACACTCGGAGGCCCTGAAATGGGCACCACCGCAGGGTCTTATCAAAAAACCTACCCATAAAGCCCCAGACCCCTCCGCGGGCCGGCCCGAAACAAGAAGGTGAACCGTCGACGAGGAAAACCTCCGACGACTCCCGGCCAGGGACGGGTTGGGGCAAGACTCTGCCGGGCCGAATCAGTGTCCCTGGGCCCCCCCACGCCCACCTCAGACCCCTGGATCCCGCTTGAGTGAAGAGAGTCGAGCACGTTTGGGGGCGTCCGTCTTCTCTTGGCAAGTCAACGAGACATTGATCTATATCCCAATCGGCATATACGACGTAGACGGATTTGTAGAATCCTAGCAATGTAGCAAAGCGTGAAAAAGAAATCTGCGACTTTCTGTGAGTAGAAAGAGGGCCACTCGCTTCAACACTCTAGCCAGACACTTGTCTTGGAAACACCGCAAATCAAAAACCCCGTACCTGCGCCGTGGCACACCTTTGGTCGGGTGGCTGTTGTCTCGTTCAGGAGAATCGAAAAATTCGGTCAAACAATCAGGCGGTGAAGAAAGAGTGAAGAAGAAATTTTTGTTGGGAAGCCGGAGAAAAGGAAAAGAAAAAATAGTTTCTTCGACAGTCTCATCTCACCGCGCCACAACCCTCTCGAGAACCCGTCGGTGAGAGACCGGTCAACGTTTGCGCACCGACAGAAATTTTTCCTGGCGTTCAGACATGCAGGCGTTGAAACATGTTGCGCTGTCAAAATTGGTGTCATTCGCGCTCCCGGGCCTGCAGAACCTATCCGTCATCGGCGGATGAAAGAGAGATAGAGAGGGAGACCAAAAAAAAACAAAAAAAAAAAAAACAAAGAGGCTGCTTTGAACTCGGGATCCGCCTCCTGCCGATCCTGTTGGGCGGGAGATGCGCCCTTAGACCGGCGGCGTGCGTAAGAAGGCTTGCCGTGAGGTGCCACGACAAGACGCGGCTCGGAGGCGGCGATGGGGGCGACAGGAGAGTCCTCAAAGCACGTGGAACGATCTCATTCAGTCCAGGGAGCCGCCGGCTGACTTCTCTGTCTCCCAAACCAGCGATATGGGCTGGTCTTTGCTCCTCATATCGCAACAACAAGCATGGCGCGCCTGACGACGCTCGCATCAGAGGTCTCACCGTTGTTTGGCAGAGAAACAACCGGCCATAAATCTAGAACGAAGACCTGGTCGTCGTGCGACAACCGAGAATAATTGAGGCCGTTGGGAGAAAAGAGCTGAAGATTTCACATCGAGTGAAACAGGATGCCATCAGTACGAGTCACTGGCACCATCTGGACGGGGCGCTACAGCTGCTTTCCGGAAAGGCTGACGGTGTCCTGCAGCGAGGCGTCCGAGGCAACTCGATGATGCAGGTGAATGAAACATCTCTGTGGTTGTGACACAAAGCTCTGCAGCACAACATCTCTGAACACCAGAGCAGACCAACCATGCCGCCATCATCCATGTAGCGTGCCGTTGCAAGGTTGAGGTTGGAGGGTGGTGATACGGGTTTAGCTCAGCATGCAGGTCGCTCGAAAGAGGTGAGGCACAGCAACTCGCAGGCACCCATTGAAGATGGATTGCTTCAGGTGTTCCCCAAGCAGACCGGTAGCTGATCTTGCGGTGGCGGGCTGGCTGGCTGTGACCCATGGCCGGACTGGCGATCTCTCCGAGAATCTGTCACGAACAAAACCAGGTTGGTTTCTGCAAGATGCTTCGTCAGGGACAAGATCATCGACGTGTCGTACGATGCGAGCCAATGCCGGGTCTCGTGCGTGTAATACGCAAGCCCATGTCAACGATGATGGCAATCCGAGATGAGAGAGGGAGGCGCCTTGGAATCGCCGTCAGATGATGAGCCATTGGAGGTTGCTGGATTGCTACAATGTCGAGTTGGTGTGTACACCCTCAACATCTTGGCCGCCATCTGTTGTGATAAAATTTTCAATAGTTAGTGAATATGCACGTACCTGGCTGAAGACCATGGACCTAATACGGCAAGGCAAACTTACAGATGCCCATGCAAATCTGACCGAAGCGGGATTTAGGACGGGCGTCTGGTTGGCGATCTTGCCGAGCAAAGACACTGCCCGGCAAATGCTGCAGACGACTTGCTCTTCTTCTGTAAAGACCAAAGGTTATCAAAGTGACCGTCGCATCGCAGGGCCCACTCAGCAATACGTTCTGCCTCGTGCACAATTACAGAAGAGTTACATTTGACGCATGCTGTCAGAATAGCACCGTTCCGTCTGATACGCGTTCGCACACCTTACTAGCGGCGGTCGGTGAGAAAGCAGCAGCCGCCGAATGATCCGGGCTTTGTGCATGGAGTACACACACCGAAATAGCTCGGTGGCTGTCGGAGATACGTCAAGGGATCTCAAGACCTTAGTCCAGCCACAAGTTTGTTAGAACTTGCAGCTCGCCATTATTGGTAGCATGCGAGCCCAAGGTGTATTGAAACAGTCCAAGACTCGAAACTTGCCGACCTTTGAGCCGCTGTTTTGCTGCTTTGAACTTGTTTGGCACCGACAGCCCCAAGAATTAAAAGACGTTCGCCTCAAAGCGAGTGACCCAGAGCTGAGCTGCATACTGAATGTCTCAATCTAGAGATTACCGGTATGATGGTATCTCGAATCAAGGTCAATCTTTCCATGTCACATGTTGTCGACAGCAAAGTTATCGGACCTTTGCGTGTAATGTTTGTAATGGCAGATCATTTGGCAGCATTTGTAGCCCATCCATTGGCACGGGCAGCCCTGGTAACTAGCCGGCCGCTCGAGATGGGTCTCTGATGCTTCCCCGGGGCCCTCACCGATGAGAATTCGGGCCAGAATTTGTGGGTAAGAAGTCGAAAAGACCAGGCATGATTCGACTGTTCGGCACACCAAGCGGTCTCAACTCCAGCGATTTCCCTTGCGGCTGCAGGCGGCCGTTGCAACTTGGCATATCCATGGTTGAGGGAGAGGTCTGGTGACGATCCATCCAATGGTGAGAGCCGCAAAAATTGCTTTGACCAAGTTCATGTCTGTGCGGCAAGTAGCTAGCAATCCGGGTCTGTTGTTCTGCAGTTGGGTCGGGATGCACTGACATCTCTCCACTCGCAACCGAGAAAGGGTGTGACGAGAGGAAGCAGGAATAACATCGCCCACGGGACAACATGCCTTCTCTCTTGCAGTAGGCTGGCCTTTCTGTGGCGCAAGATTGTCCTTTGGAGTGTTTGAGGACCCACCATCTATCGACCGTGTGACGGTAAAAGTACGTTGCGCGGTTGCTTCGGTCGTGGGATTTCGCAGTACCGGGCCAGGCCGGAGATAGCAAGCGTTGACCTGAAGCCTGTTGAGTTGCAATGCCTGGAACTCTGTAGTATCGACGTGCTTCACTTTTGTCATATATCTTTTCTTTCTCCAACGGGTAATTTGGAAGGGTTTCATCGGGAATTGTGAGTTTTACGGCAGAATGCCACGTTGGAGTTCAGCCACGCGAACGACGAGCGGCTTTCATGGACCGCTTGCCGTCCGTTGAGTGCGCCATCCCATGAGCAACGTCTTCAACCCATGCCCCTGTGCCCTTCCCGATGGAGGCTAAGTAGGTTGGCGGCGGGATGGTTGGAATGCTATGGCCAGGAGGTCTGGAAGCCATGCGGCTGCCGCGAAAGGGATGCGGTGACGAGATGTAGTGCATTACCGCTCGGCTCAGGAATTCAGAGGAGCCCCTGGCAGGCCAGTCAACGGATGCGTGGCAGGGGGCCGACATGGGAACTCGCACACGTCTTAGTCCAACGACAAGCTCTGTCTGTGCATCTCAACCAACAGGAATGGAACTCCTTCTCCCCCAAAGATGGCCTGCAGGACATTAAATGCAAGTCAAACAAGTCCGTGACCCGGAGCGCGCCTCTCTACTGCCGTATATTGAAGCTGTGTACTTCCAGAGACGCAGACGCAGACGCGGACGCAGTAGGCAATCCAAATCTCGAGGCTCACGTGGCCGGAAGAGGGTATCGGATCGGACGTATAAGGTAAGTGGGCAACCCAACGCAAAGGTCGAGTCGGCGTCGGTGGCGGACCAGCCATGGTAGCCGAACGATGATCAGCCAGTCGCAGAGAACCCGAATGTGACTTTGAGGGTGACGACGGGAGCTCGTGGTTGCCAGTTAATAACGCACCGTAGGGGCGGATTCTTTCGACGAAGGCGGGCAACAATATTGGCCAGATCGGCCGACCAATCCGGGCAGCGACGACACGGCTGCAGGGACAAGCCAGCGCCCACGGCGACTGAGAAGGGGGGTATTAGTCAGGCCAGCCCACAGCTATTCAATATGATGCTTCATGCCGTATGGAAGGCCAGGCCAGCGAAGAGACAAGGTACGTCGCGTTACCCGAGAGCAGTGTGCCAGGACTTGCTGGTATACTTGACTGGCGATGGCGAGGTATGTTGTAGAACTGACCTCGTCAGCCCAAAAAGCCTTCAGGGCGAGCGACATAGAGAGAAGACAGCGCAAAATTTTTGGCACATTGCGGCTTATGTGAGGCTAACCCCCCCCCCCCCGGTCCGCGCTTTTGTCAATCGTGTGGTCACTAGTCCGTATGCCCGCGTCGCCCGTTCCTTCGGAGGTTTCATTTCGGCAGAGACAGGGCACCGGGCTGCAGACTGGATGCCGGGACGGAAGAGGGTCACCGCTGGTGTGTGAGGTGTGCGTACGTGTGGTGGGTGGTGGACATTGCTGGATGGGAGGCTGCGCATTCGATGACGAAGAAAAACAGCTGGGCGCATGGTTGCTGTAGCAGATTTTGTCCGATTCTCAGGCCCTGTTTGGAGACGGTGCAGTGAGCCGATGGAGACTCGAGCAGGAGCTTCAGACACACGAACCCCTTGGTGAGGGAAGCTGACGATGTTGACAACCTGTGCTGGGTTGATTCAAAGTAAAGCTTCAATGGCTGAGGTGGTAACAAGAACCCAGATACCTTTGGCCGGCTTCTGGGTGGTGTGTGTAATTGTGAGAACTCAGAAGTCTCACAGTGAGTCGCTGCCCGCATGGGTGGGTTCACAATGTCTAGGTAGTCTCCTTTTCCTGAATCCTGGGAAGCTGCGTGCGTGCCGGCCGGTTTAGATGTGTCCCCTGATTATTGAGGCTCCCCGTTGCGTGGTACGATACCGATACAGCTCCTGTTCGGCGGCCGTGGTTGCCAATAAAACCTGCCACGATCCACGGGGGAATGCCCCTTGCGGCTCGTCGTGTCGAGCTTGCCTCGCTAGAAACGCCGGACTGAATAATATGACCATTGACACCGGGGTGGGAGGGGAATACCCAGCAAAGAGGAGAGCACCTCAGGAGCAGGAGCAGGAGCATGAGCTGGGGCCAGATGCGCCTAGAGTGCCAGGCAAAGAATAAAGAAAAATGATCAGATGCTGCTGACCTCTGGTGGTCCAGGTGAACCTAAAATCCATCATTAGCGTCGCATGAGAAAGGTCATGAGACCTGTTTGTATCCAGAAAAAGACAGACCGAACCCTGGGGGGCTGCGCCGCAGAACGGGGTCTGCTAGAGAGGTACCATTGCTAACAGTTCCCACAGCCCACTGCGCTCTCCTCCTCTTTCCTCCACAAGGGACCAGCCAGCCCACTGCACCTGAGGTGAGGTGAGATGCAAGCCCGCAGTCCGCAGGTAAGGGTTCTCTCTTCGTACGGTGAGGTACGGAGTCGTGAGAGTGTCGTGAGAGTGTACGGACACGCTTACTCGTGACTCTCGAGCCGTGATGTGATTATTTCTTTCCAGAGTCAAGTCCCTTAAGTAAGTTCCATTCCTTCCTCATAAGTTTTGCATCCATAGGATGGAAGGTACCTAGGTACCGAATTTTGTTTTTGCGAGCCCCTCCTTTAGTCCTTCCCGCCGTTGAGCTCTGGCCCTGGGCTGCCATTGGATGATAGACAGTCCGCTGCTGGCGGCTGGCCTACCTACTTGTAACCTTACCCGTCATTCTAGCACTCCGTACCGAGTACCTAATTACGCAGGAAAGTGAAGCATGTCACATGCATCGAAAGCTTAGGTAATGGTCCATCGTCGAATCCTGCCTTACAGGTTACGGATACAGCATGGCAGCAACACGCGATTATATGGAGCACGTGGACAAGGGCCCTTGAGCCAAAGTGACGGCGTGACGAGAACACATCCCAGGCCCCTTGCTGGAGTCCCGGAAAGGCGCCAGCGAGTCGTAACCACCAAATCACAATTCCCAGGCACCCCAAGTTGCCTCCAAGTTACCAGAAAAGCAGGCCAGCCGACAAAAATAGACCCGCCGTTGCTTGCTGGATCCAGTATGTTGGTCAAGAGGCTCAAGAACCCATGCGCTTCCTGGCTGCATGATTCAACAAGCTTGCCTATCCAGCCAGTATCGAGTACGGGGTGCTCCTTTCTCGACTCTCCGTACCTTACTGCGTAGTACCTCACCTTACTACGGATACTTCGTACTGCGGACTGCCATTGTTATGCTGCCGCAAACTTTGGGCGCACGTTCTACCTCGTTGAAGCCCAAGCCCCAAACCAGGGCCGGGAGCTTGGACCGTGCGATGACGTAGGAGTCTTTCATCAACATGAGGCATTCGCAACTAGACCAGCTGTCATTACCTCAATTACTGCATCGCTGTGGGCATCGTCAGGAAATAACACATCCAACTATAATTGACCGCTTGGCATGATCGGATGTTAAAAAGAGTGACAGCGCATCTGCTCACCAAGATGGTTGTGGTGGCTTGCAGCCGTAGCGTACTAATGCCGATGTGCTCGCGACAATCAGATAGACGTTGGACGAAACTAAATCTGTGTTGGCTCGACTGCGGCAACCGCCAAGTAGTTGGACGAATGAAAGCCATGCCCATCCAAAGTCAATGGCTTTGATGGCCCCTTCTGGGTCTCGCACTGCGTACAAATCCAACCCTTGTCGATCCAGTGCGGCCATTTTGGCTGTCGTTGTCGTCCAACTTCATCGTCGACTTGTAGCTGACAACGTCGCTTGCAAGACCCTACCTAGCGGCTCTCACATCTCGATTCCGGCAAGGGAAGCCACAGAACCAGGAGGCAGATCCTACTACTGCGTATGCTGTCACGGCCCAAGGGTTGACGGACCCAGGCAATAGCAACCGGTTCGTGCGATGACTCCACTTGGTTGTTCACAAAGAGCATCCGCTCATGGGGATTGGTGTCATGCTGTGCCTCCATCAACTACTGTACTGTGCTTGGCCCGTCTTGCTAATGTAATGTTGCTGCGATACTTCGTAAACGACTTTGTGGTCCTGGAGAAACACCAACTTTACATTGGCGAGCTCCAGGCTCCACCCTCTCGGCCCCTCCTCAATGAGACGCGAGCCACAACCACGACTCCTGCTGGGCTCATTGCCCCGCACTTGGCCGTTTCCTCCACACATGGGAACGTCGTCATAGGACCTTTCGGCCAAGTCTCTTTGGCGGGGTTGGGCCCTAGAGGGGACAAGGCAATATCCAAGGAGGAGTGGGAGGATCCAGCAGCACAGGAACCCGGAGCCACAACAAATGAAGAGTCTCCGTGGACTCTGGAGAGAGAGAAAGTTCCAAAAGTCCATATCTGGGTTTCCCTGAGACTCTTTGCCTATCCCATGGACAGTGAGATGCGCAAAATCCCTCTGCTTTCCCCTTTTCTCTCACCCCTTCTCTGCTGTTGGCCGCCCGCAGCAGGGCACGCGCCAAGGCAAGCCGCAAGCCACGGAAGCTCTGACCATTGACTAGCACCAGCTTTATCCCTTCCCATCAATCCAGGCATCCCCTCCTCATCGTAGCTCGGCGAGGTTTAACCCAGTGACTGTATCCCTGCTCTTGCATGTCCAGACGGCCGAACAGACTGTCAGAGGCGACCAGAGCGTCCTGGACTCCATTCGAGTGCAGAACATATGCGGCGGGCGAATCCCAACATAAAAGAAAGCATGATGTGAAAACTCTTTGCCCACCCACAGCGCCGTCAGAACAGGGGACTCTGCAAATCCAGGCTATCCGCAGCATAGACTGGATTCCTGGACCTGGAATCGCTGGACACAATGCTGGCAACTAGCTACTGCCAAATTCGCCGTCAAGCTGCTTGAGATGTAGAGAAAACGCATTCTAAGGTGGTATGTAGATGAGTCTGCCATCCTGCAGGTAGAAAAACCTCCATCGGCGGTCGGATGTGGCGACTGTGAACGGCAAGGTTCTGCGGTTGTCTTGACGCTGTCTTGATCTTCCAAACTGGAAGCGTTGCTGTCACTTCGAGTCCAGCTGTGTCAAAGGTAACATGTCGTTTCCACGAATGGCTAACCCAGGGGAATATGTTGTTCTCTGCCTTGTTAAGAAATCTAGTTGATTCATAGTGAACATCGAATCTTCAAGCAACGAACGATCAAAACCTCTCGTGCGGCGTCTAGGAGGCGGGCAGGGCCATTGGGAGCGTGGCCGGCCACGGAAGAAATTGAAGTCAGGTTGGAAGAACCGTGCGAGTGCCTATTGGACCCTGCAGAATCGGGGCCGCTCAGCAGGTTGGTCTTGAGGCGCATTGGTAGCCGGCTACGCAAGATACTAAGGTAGTGCGTGCCTTAATCACATCGAGTTGTTGCGCGTCGTGTACTAGGATGATACACGTAGAAGACCCAGCAGGTCAGCTGGCCAAAGGTACCCGGCAGTACCCTAGCGAATGACAGCGGATTAGTGGACACGGCCCGTTTTGGTCCAAGGTACGGTAGCAAATGTGGGATGAGCAATCCTCGAGGGCCGGGAAGAGAGGGGTTTGTGGCACGTACATGATGGAAGCGTTATGGTCATGATGGAGGCTGAGAAGATGAAAGGGAGTTGACTGCTTCGGTATCTCAACGGTAGATATTGAGGAAGTATCCGTAAGGTAGGCAAGCAACCTAAGGCAACACGGCAAGATAGGCTCGATAGTACTTGGGGGAGGCAGGGGCAGTTGCTATCACCTCTCCTTACCTACCTTACAGACAGTCCGACGGTGTCTCAAAGAAACTACCGGCCTATTAGGTAAGGAAAGTCTCCGTACGTGTGAGTAGGCAAGTAAAATGCTCGTTGGGTTCTTCATCCTCCACCACTAGGGCTTGTCTGCAAAAGCCGCACCGAATGTTCCATTGGGATGTTGTGAATACTCTAAAGGTTGTGATGAATGTGTGGAAAAGATTCGTATCGTATTGATTCTTTTCTTTCGCTTTTCCTTGCAAATGGGAAGCCCAGTCCGAACCCAAGTTTCTCTTCAGGTAGGCACGCAGATGCATACTACCCCCATGTGCCTGCGTGCGTGCCTACCTTACCTTAAGTTACTTGCTGACCACGTCGGGTACAGAGTACTTGAAGGTATAAAATCAACTAAGGCAGAACGAGTGAACGGCCATGGTATTTACCGTGCCACCTACCTTACCATGACGGAAGACACATGTGTACTTGAGGTAGGTACTATGTTAGGTGGTAGGTACCTAGCTTCCATTGAGAAGAATAAGACAGAAGAGTACGTATTCAAATGTTCGTAGCTGGCTTGGAAGACCTGGACAGCTGGGAAACAGCACGGCAGGTACCTTACTGAGGCAAGCCCGGTTGACAGCTGGAGGAGCAGACAGGGAGGTACTGCGTACACATCCATTGGCTTTTTTGACTTCCGCTTGCCGAGTTTTAGCGCCTGCCTCCCCGTCTCAAAATGAGCACATGAGCAAGCCTGGTGCAGCGGGTCCTTGTCTGGAGACGACGAGGGGACGACAATGAAAGGCTAACCTGGAGCCATTCGAACTGCGTGTCCCGCCGGTGCTTGGTCCCCACCTCACCAGAGCTCTGGACTCAGCCTGGACTCTACATTAAGGTAGGCACTCTGTAACAAGGTAGACTCGATGGGTTTGTCAACGGAAGATAGACAACAGCACAGAAGAAAAAGACATCCATTTGATCTGCTCTCTACCCGTTGTGGGCGGGCAGATTTATCGACTTGAGTTGCTGATTCTGCCGTTAGTGTTTTGCTGCGTAGCGGCACTCTTCCTGGTCGATCAAGTCCCAGGGTTGGGTGCCAAACGTAAGGTACCTACCTACCTACTTTGAACTGTTTACGGATACTTGGGTACTTTCTCGCGGCTTTCCTGGGCGACTGCATGCTGTATCTTTGGACCAGAGCTCGTTCATTGCAGGCTGCTCATCACTTATTACCTGTTGTTGTCTGGCTCTGTTGTCTTTCAACATGCCTCGAGCAAAAGCAGCGTGTCGTGCGTAGATCATCTCAAGTTTGACTTGCGTCGAGACTCGACAAAACCATACTCATCTGGCTCTGCAACGCAACATCCCTCAATGCCAAAGTTTGGAAGCTCTTCAGTAATGAAGTGCTGCGGTTCTCTCCCGAACCGCACGCAACCTTGAGCTACTTTCCGGCACCTTGAGCACGGCCCCTCTCTGGATCCCGGGTGGTCTGCTCCTTCGAGAACCGTAGTGTACCCTCACGTTCTCGGCGACATGTCCTGGACTACATCACTTGCTTCGACTAATAATGTCGTTTCCATTGTGTATGGACAGTTGCATGGCATTCGATATCTTACTGTCTATTCGGGTCAACGTTCAATCTCGAGTGTGGTTCAGACGATCAAGCTGGGATCTCTTGTTGCCACTTCTGGGAGCCGCTTTCGATACTTTGTCTGTTGCTTTGTGGGATAGGCCCGACAACCTTGAGGAAGCAGTCTTGCGGGAGTCCATGGTGTTGACAAGCCTGAGAATACTCTAGTGACTTGCCTGTTTAACGTCGTTCGAACTGTCACCGTAGACACCAAATTGTGTTGAGCGTGTGCTCTGTTCAGTCATTAAATTGCGAGCAACTCAGGCACTAGGCAGTCACACTGAGAATGAGGGTATCGCGAAGAAGGCGGATGAAGAGAAGGAACGCCGGGAACCAGAGTCCGTGCAAGATCTATCATGAGGGGCGTCTAATTGAACATAACTTGATAGTGGGCCGAGGAGAATTGTCAAACGTGAAGTTGATGGCGATGTGGTATCCTGGCAGAGTCGTACTGAGGTAGCCGCGGCAAGTAGCAATGATAAGGTAAAAGGTACTGAGACATCTTGCCATGGATGGCGACGATAGCTTCAGTTCGTTTGCCTAGGTATGCATTTTCTGATGCATTTTTATTTTATTTTTATTTCATTGATATCCCCTCCCCCTCGTGCCGTACTGAGATGTACATACTTCAGCACCCCAAGGCTCAGGTAAGGTCAGTACCTAAGTAAGGTAGGTACCTAGGCCACCCCCCTTGTCCCAGTGACTGGACTTGGGACGCACTCCGTCATTCCTCGTCCAGCTGCGCGCGCTAGTCTGCCCTGCCGTGTGGTCCGCGAGGCCTCAAGCCCAAAAGGCAAAAGACCACAGAGCAAGACCAAGACGCACAATCCACCCCGGGCTGCGGGCTGCGGGCTGCTGCCCCTCTTTCGAAGTACCTCCCTACCTCTCCCCTGCCGTGCCAGGCGTGCCAGGCGTGCCTTCCCTCGTACCTCACGGATACCTTACCTTACCTTGCCTTGCCTACTTCAATCCACGTCTCCACCACCGACCACTCCTTCCCACCAACCAACCCACCTCGCGTTCCTCTAAACGGCGTGACAACATCCTCCTTCTCCCACCTCTTGGGTACCTAACCTGAACTTCACCAAACCTCTCACCCCCCGCGCATTGCTCTTCCTCTTCTCACCTTCAACTGGCATTTCGCCTCGACTTTCGTCGTCTCCAACATACAGATACCTCAACGCAAAGCTCCCCTCCATCAGCCACCAGCCATTACACCCATCTGTCCTCGAAACCACTTCGGTTCCAAATCTCACGATCCTTCTTCGCCGCCCGAGAAAACACTGTCTCCCGTCTGCCCACCCGCACCGCACCCGCACCCGCAGACCACCACCCACCCCAGCAAACCAAAGCTCCCCCAGGCAGTCATCGCCTCTGCTCCATTTCTTTCTCTTTCAACGCACCTTGCCTGTAGCCGCCGGCCGCAACTACTCTGAGAGCACCACGAGAGGAGAAAGGTTCATTCTACCATCTTTCTTGTCTTCCTACAATCCCGCCTTCGTCGACAATTTCCAGTCATTGTAGGTAATTCTTGCCTTTCTCCCTCTAGCTAGCCCTCCTCCATCCAATTCCTCCCACTTCGTGTCCCATGAGGCAGAAACAACACCATCATCACTATCCTTGAGCTTGCTTGATCCGCCTGCCCTGCCCCTCAGCGACGTATTGTGCCGTCATCACCACATTCCCCCTTCCCAGTCCACTTCCTCCTTCTTCACCACTCGCTTCCACAACGCTGGACCGCAACCCGCCGAATCTTTCCCTGTTTCCCGGCCCGTCATTAGCAGCTCACCTACACGCGAGAGAAGTGGTCTTTGCTGTGTGGTGGTGACCTTAGTTTCCGCCCAAGGTGTTTCTAGGTAAGGTAGCTGCTTCGCTCGCACTACCAGCCTGCACGTACCTGGCATTTTCCCCTCTGCCTGAGCGAAAAATCACCTCACTGCGTACTGCATGCATAGCGCAGCGCATATACACACAACACTGCCCACCCCCTCTTATCCTCTCTGTCTTGTCTGTCTTCCACGTCCTAAACCTGTCCTGTCCTGGCTTGCTCTGCCCTCCTCTTCCTCCGCTGGCTGCTACCTCACCTCTTCCAATACTTCCGCTTCTTCTGCTCCTCGCCTTGCCACCATTCGCCTTGCATCGTCGCCATCATTCATATTCCCCTGCCCTGCCATTTTCTCCCTCTCCCTGTCAAAATACCTCCCCACCCCGCACCCCTCGACCGTCCGTCCGTCATCCTCGCTCATCACTGCTCGTCGCACAACACGCTCCATACCCTGCTCCATCGTCAACCTATCAATCACCACCGACTTGTTCGAATCTTACACTGCCAGACGGGCTGCTAATCAACCAAATCATCAGCTCCCCGGAGATTGCTCAACGTCGACTTTGACACAAATCCAAAATCCCCTTAGCGGGCGAGACTGAACCGATCCCCGACGCGAATCCGCTACCGGCGCCGCTCTCAATTACAACCTGCCTCGCGA